CATCTAACCTGAATTTAATCATTCCCCACAGCTGGATTTATTTTCTGCTTCTCACTACTATAATGTTTCAATCACCAGTTTTCTAGGTAAATCTTTGATGGTATTTCCTGATGGTTTTCTTAATCAGTGGAAGGGTAAAGGAAGGAGCCCTTTTAAGGTTCTCTGTATATGTAACAAATTACTTTCCAGAAAGGCTGAACAAAGTTCTGCTCCCATCAGTAGCTGATGAGAATCGCCTCATGCCACAAAATGTTCACTTGTTCTCAACAGGACCTATAAATAAAATGCTAATCTCTTTCCTTTCATAGCTCAAAGGACTGAATAAGCTCATGTATCTACTACCTTCTTTCACAATGCAATTTGCTACTTTCTTCCTCCAATCATATTTCTAAAATTGTTTTAGCTTTAGTGACCTTCTAGCCAGAAGAATCCATTTTAGTCTCTTTGTTAACTCTTTTTACTCTATTCTTTCCATCTTTTTTTTTTTATTTTTTTTAAGATTTATTTATTTACTTGAAGGGTTTACAGAGAGAGGGGAGCCAATGAGAGAGACAGAGAGAGATATCTTCATCTGCTGGTTCACTTCCCAGATGGCCCCAACAGCTGAGACTAGGTCAGGCAGAAGCCACGAGCCAGGAGCTTCATCAAAGTCTCCCACATGGGTGGCAGGAGCCCAAGCACTTGGGCCATCTTCTTCTGCTTTCCCAGGCCATTAGCAGGGAGCTGCATTGGAAGTGGAGCAGCCAAGACACAAACCGGTACCAATGAGGGTTGCCGGCATTACAGGCAGTGGTTTTACCCACTACACCACAGTGCTGACCCCTTTTTTACCATCTTAATAGCCATTAGGATCTACAGATCTCTCTGCTGCACAAAGACACAATTCCTCCTTAACATCATGTCATCACATTCTCTCATTTCATCTCCAAGCTCGAAGATCTATATTTAATGTCCTCTTTGCCACTTCCTATTACTTAAACTATGTCAAGGTCTCCATAGTTTAGTTCTTGCCCTTATTCTGTGTCACCCTCTAGAAAGGACTCCTCCACGCTGATGGGTCCCATATCTTTGTTTCCAAAACTTTATGTATCCTTTGTCCTCAGGTCTTCAACTGACAGGTCCCATCATTACTTGTAAGTCAATGCCACTTACAACTCAAATACACCACCTTCTCTGCCAAACTAACACAAGTCTTTAAAGGTATTTCAGATTATTCTCCCAACTTTCTCCTTTCTGACAATGGGCCAACATTTCTGCAGTCCTCTATACTGAAAAACTTTTCTTAAAGTCCTGGTTTAAAGTACTCACTATCTCCAAACTGGTAACACTTCTTTTAAAGACTCTTTTTAGATATTTTCCTTTTTGTCATTTTCATCATCACTTCAGACATTGCTTTCCATACCTTCACAGATAGCAGCAATTCATCTCATATGCAGTTGCCTTACTAATTTTCCAAAAATGTTTCTTTGATGACATTTGCTTGAAGGCTTCCTTTTTATGTCCAAATTCATCTAGTTCCAACTCCTCAAAGGCAACATTGTATTTCCTATAACCTCCTGATCAAAATCCAAGGTAATGCTTTCCCCTACTAACCTTCAACCCTCTTTAGACTTACTCATTACTGCGCCTACTTTCATCACGTCACTTCCACCCCTACTGGTTCAACAGAGCTTTTAGTTGATAATCCTAACCGACATGACTTTTCCTTCCTGTGAATTCTTGAAGCCACTACTGTACTGGCTCTTGGGAGGGGGCTTGTGGGGAGAAGCCCTGACCTGCAACGGTTGCCAACAATTCCCATCAGAGCAGAGTTCAAGCTACAAGTGACTGTGAAACTGGAAAAGAGAATGCATAAAGTCCATGAGAACCAGCTCTGGAACACCACACCTGATGATCTCTTCTGTCATCTAGAACTACATACACACTATGTGGTACACATTCCCTAGGTGTATTATATAGATTTGTTCCCTTCAATAAACATGCCCTAGAAAGTAGGGCAATGCATTAATTTTAGAGTTTCCACAGGGTACAGTGTGTAGCATGTGCTCAAAAATGTGTTGGGTAGGACCTAGAAAGGGGTAAACAGCAAAGCCAAAGATGAGAGCAGTTACAACATTTTCAGGTAGGGTTGGTTAGCAAGAACAAAGAGGAAGGAGAATGTGGTGGAAATATAAACTCAGAATAACAGCCAGGAGACAATGCTTATGTTCCAGTTTTGTACCCAAGTGACCCTTAGCAAGTCACTTTCCTTCTTGGGCATTAAATCCCCTTATCTGAAAAATTAAAGAACTAGACTACTTGACTTCTAGATATCTCTCGACTCTTATGCTCTGGGATGTGGGTTAAACTGACAAGGAGGCAGCCCACAGTACACTGGTAATATTAACACTGAAAATAAACTCATTTTAAAATCTGGCAAGCCAATGGAGTTAGGGTAGCAATACATTTCTTAGCATGAGAAGATATTCTGGAAAGCCCACTCCATTCCTCTGACTAAATCACCATCCTGTTGGAGACCATCACAGGGAAAGAGGTGCAAAAACTCACCTTATCTGCATGTTCCAAGATGTTTCCTAGTGTCCCCCATCAGAAACATATGTATTGCCTGTCATCTATGAGCTGGATACTGTTAAGTGCTGAGGATTTAGTAAAAACAAAACAGACCCAGTCTTTACCCTCAAGTGTAGTGTGGGTCAGCAGCCATAGTTCCCTGTGTCTGTTCCCAGTCAACTGCATCAATACCTTTTAACTTAAAGAGCATGAACTATCCTGGGTAACAGATAAAGCTATGAACTGACTCTCTCTCTCAAAAATCTGTATATTATCCTAAAAATTTGAACATAATTTCAGAGTTCACAAGACCTCTTATCTGTGTTCAGGTGCTGCAAGTCAACGATTCCTACTGATATCTACAACTATACTGACAAAACAACAAATTCAAGCTTGTAAAAGCCTCTTTTAATCACATTTTGGCATCAGTCTGTGAAGGGAAAATAGCAAAGATATGCAGTGGACACAATTAGAAGTCCATTTTTTAAAGGGTTAAGTTTTGGTTATTTGAAATTTCTTTCACCCAAAAGCAACTTCCTCCAAATGACACTGTGGATACGTGAAGTCTGTCTAGATTGTCCTTCTATTCGATCAACCATCCCTTTGGTTAAGGTTGTTTATTAAATAAGTCTTCTTTCTTGAAAATCCATTTGTGCATGAATGTGTACTTCCATTCCCACAAATAAAAATGCAGATGATGACTCCTCCCCATTTTACATTAAGGAAGCCAAGCTGGCCATGACAAATACATACAAAGAAACATGCTGAGTGAGCAGCTCCAACAACCGCCAAGAGCCTGCATTCCAGAAGAAGGCCCATATGGACTCCCCGGTATTTTTTGGTGATGCGATCTTGAATAGTTCATTCAAGACCTATGGTTTTTATTCATAAAATGGAGAGGGGATGATAAGACTCACCTTAGAGGGCAGTTAGGAGACAGCAATCAAGTAAAAAAAAAAAAAAAAAAAAAAGTATGTGAAAATGTTTAGCTATAAGATGGCCAAAAACAGATAAAGACAAATTTAAGTTGCTCACAAAACATCAGGTTTTCATACAAGATCATCTGGAGAAAGTTGCTCATATAACATCCTTAGTGTACTATTCACATTTTTCTATCTGAAGTAAAAGAAACTGTTCAAGTAATTTTGTTTTGATTATGTACCCAGTCGTGAAGTTCTTAAAAATCAGAAGTCTGCAAAGAGACTGGGATTTTCATGATGTATCAATATAGTCTCAAAGCAAGACAAATTATTTCCAACAAATTCGGTCTTGGTTATGGTCCAGCCGGCGCAGCCCATTTAACCTTTTCTCAGAGCAGTGACTCTGTCACTTGCCTTGCTGAAAAGTTTGATAATAGTAAACAGGACATACACAAAACTTTTAGGTAAATTAGTTCAAAACTGTCAAATAGCAATGAAAGCAATGACTATTGGGACCTTTCTTTTTAAGCAGAGGGGGGTTTTAATTTCAAAGGAGGACTTTAATTTCAAAGGAAGTAAACAACACTCTCCAGTCTCAAACATGTTTTCCAATTCATTCCCCTGGAAAACAAGATACATAAAAAGCTAACCTTATTTTTGGCTAGGTATCAAATCTGAGAAACGATTTCATACTCAAGTTGTTTTTCCATTATTTGATTTACATTTATAAATAGACATTTAACACTATTTCAACAGCCAAGTGTGCAGCTACTTCTTCCTTTGGAAAAGTGAAATTAAACAACTCTCTAATAACTTGGAACCAAGAAACGGAAGGTCATTACACCTTATCAAAGCTTGAAAAGGTGACCGGCCATTAGGAGCCAACTATCCCGGCGCCTCCTTCCACGCCGCTCGGGATGCAAGCACTCTGATGTCTGAACCGCGTCTATGCCAAGGCTCTACCTGTAACGCCAATTAGACTCCTGGCTCAGAAAAACACCCATCACACAACTGTCTACGATGGAAACAAGCCCCAGATCCCACCTCTCCCAAGAAAACTGCGCTTCACTGCAGAACTGTTAAAAAGTACCGGAGTCCCCCATTTTAAGAAAACAATGCCCCAAACTCTGGGACCTCGAACCCCTTGCCTATTCAAATACTCCCTGGAGCAGGAGACCCCAGACCCAGGCTGACAGCAGGCGCAGACTCCAGAGAGATGAGGGGTGAGGGGAGGAGAGGCAAGACTCAAGCAGCGCGCCAGGCGTTGAGGTTAGGGTGGAAAACGGAACGAATCCGGCAGCCGGCAGTTCTGGGGATGGCAGGTGCCTAAAGGAGGGAATCAGAGGCGGCAGGCGACTGCTAGAGGGAAAGGGAGGGAGTCAGGGCCTGGGCGCGGGACCGACAGCCAGGTTCTAGGAAAACTCTGCTCCAGCCCCCAGCGTCCAGCGTCAGCTCGCGCTGGCTGCTTCTCTCCCGATGCCGCGCCACTTCCTTCCCGCCTGGTCTGCCCCGGGTCGGCCAGCTCCTCACCTGCCGCCAGGCGCAGGCCGCGGAGGCTCCCCATGGCCGCCCGCTCCGCCGACAGCACAGCAGCACCTCGCTAGGCGGCGCGGCGCCGGGCCGCTCAATGTCACCGGGCGCCGGGCGGGCGGGGCGCCGGGGTGGGCGGGGCGTGCGTGACGCGCGGGCCGTGCGGGACGTGCGCGACGCGCGGGAGCCTGCGGGCGCGCCTCTCGGGGCGTGCGGGCGCCGGCGCCGAGGCGGCCCTGCCCTTACGGTTCCCTGCGCGGAGGCGAGTCCCTGGTTCGAAAAGCAGCAGAGCTAAAGAGGAGAGGCAGCGTGGGGGCGTTTGTGAACTGTCAACTGCCGACCTGCGCTCCCTGATAAGCCAGTATTCACCATCCATCCTGTGTGCGATGAAAGCTTTTATCCAAACGCGTTGGAAGCCCCATCACTTGGTGGCTTTTGGAGCATCCCTCGGGCCAAGCCGAGAAAATCAGAATGTGTGCTTTTTTTCTTTTTTTCAATTCCACCATTTACCCACGCACACTGCCAGAAACGTGCCCATTTTTTTTTCTAGTCGTTTCTTAGTGGCCCCAAATTCTCGCTGAACAAAGGCCCTTCAGCCCTGGGGACAGAGGATCAACAGTGGAATGGGAGGGCTTCGGGAAGGTTCGCGTTTCGAGATTCCCTCCCCGAGCGACCTGATTGGTGTGTGCACGGGAGATCCCTTCCCTTTTTCAAGAAGATGCTCTTGGAGTCCACCGTCCCTTCAGGTTCTGACAATCTCTGTCCCGTGCATAAAAGGATTGGAGTGAAAAAGCAGGGCAGCAGAGCGACAAACTTTGACGTGGGAGGGGGGCCACAGACAGACAGGTTCCGCGCTCAGGTGTTTGGCTGAGATTTCCTTTGGGCCATTTTTCTTCGGTCAGGCGGCGCCGCGGACACCTTTGCTCCGCGGTGATTGGCCTGCGGCGGGGTCCTCGCGTTTGTCCAATATGGCGGCGCCCAGTGGCGGTGTGAACTGTGAGGAGTTCGCTGAGTTCCAGGTAATGGGCTTTACCTCGTGTGGCAGGTGTGTCCTTGCTTTTGTGTCTAGACCCTATTCCGTGTTCTGGCCTTGGAAGGCGTATGGGTCAGCTGTGGGAAAAGCGGTCAGTTCAAGGTTTCATTATCGAGCCATTGGAGGTCATGGGGGGCGCGTGTTTGGCCTTAGGGAGCGTGGCTGCTCACTGGTGGGGACGGAAGGAGGTCATAGTCTTTGTGCTGAGCAGGCCTTGCCTGGGAATTTCAGGCCTTTCCGCGGTGGCAGTGCCAAGCTCGGGAGTGTAGCAATGCCCTTGTAGCAATGCCCAGAACTCCAGTTCCAAGCCTCTGCCATTCTTCTACTTTTCTCAAAGTTGAGCTTTATGGGAGAGAGGAAAGGGAAGATAAGATAAAACGATTAGCGCAGTTTGCGATTTTGGGGGGACAGATCGTTTGCAAGCTTGGAGGGGAGATTAATTCTAGTACCTGCCCTGGTTGCTAGTGCCTTCCGAACCATTAGAGAGGTAGCGCTTGAGAAAAAGCTGTTATCTTTTTACAGTTCAAACACCAGCGATCTAGAGCTACATGCTCTGCTGCTATTGCCTTTCTGTTAGAGTTGTAGCGTTTACAAAAAAAAAAGAAAAAAAAAACCCTATCTTTTTGTATCCAAGCATCTAACTCTAAGGCTAATTATTAACCACTAATCTAAGGACAGGGATCTGGATTTTGAGCAAGTTACTGGAAAAGATTCCTGCCTTTTTTAAAAAAAAATTTTTCTTATTTATTTTATTTGAAAGGTAGTTACAGACAGTGAGAGGGAGAGACAGAGAGAAAGGTCTTCCTTATGTTGGTTCGCTTCCCAAATGGCTGCAACAGCTGGAGCTGCGCCCATCCAAAGCCAGGAGCTTCTTCCCGGTCTCCCACGTAGGTGCAGGGGCCCAAGCACTTGGGCCATCTTCTACTGCTTTCCTAGGCCACAGCAGAGAGCTGGATTGGAAGTGAATTAGCCGGGACTAGAACCTGCACTCATATGGGATGCCGGTGCCACAGGCAGAAGATTAACCTATCTATTAACAGAGGACCCTGTTAATAGAAACACTTGAAAAATATTTAACAGACTAGACGAAGACTGTTGGAATTAGAAGGACATGGAATACATAAAGTTAACCAGCACATTTGTGGCTGTGGCCTTGTCAAATTAATAATGTGACATAACTTGAGTTACTAAACGCATATAATTGAGCAATGGGTGTTTTTTACCAAAAAAAAATATTTAAAAGACAGAGAGAGAGAGATCTTCCATACTCTGGTTCACTTCCCAAATGGCTGCCAGGGCTGGGCCAGGCCAAAGCCAGGAGCCAGGAGCCAGGAGCTTCTTCCAGGTCTCTCACATGGGTGTGCAGGAGCCCAGGGACTTGGGCCATCTTCTGCTCCTTTCCCAGGGAGCTGGCTCGAAAGTGGAACAGCCAGGACTTGAACTGGCACCTATGTGGGGTGGTGGCATTGCAGGCAGAGGCTTATCTCACTACGCCACAGCACCAGCCCCTGAGGGATGGTATTCTTTTTTTTTTTTTAAAGATTTATTTATTTATTTGAAAATCAGAGTTACTCAGAGAGAGAGAGGTCTTCCATTACTGATTCACTCCCCAGCTGGTTGCAAAGGCCAGAGCTGCGCTGATTCGAAGCCAGGAGCCAGGAGCTTCTTCCGGGTCTCCCACTCGAGTGCAGGTACCCAAGGACTAGGGCCGTCTTCTACTGCTTTCCCAGGCAGTAGCAGAGAGCTGGATTGGAAGAGGAGCAGCCGGAACTAGAACCAGCACCCATATGGATGCCGGTACTGCAGGTGGTGGTTTTACTGGCTACGCCACAGCGCTGGCCCCAATGGTATTCTTAAAATCTGTGGGAAGGCCGGAGCCGCAGCTCACCTGTGGCGCCAGCACCCCAGGTTCTAGTCCCAGTCGCTCCTCTTCCTGTCCAGCTCTCTGCTGTGGCCCAGGAGTGCAGTGGAGGATGGCCCAAGTCCTTGGGCCCTGCACCCGCATGGGGAGACCAGGAGAAGCACCTGGCTCCTGGCTTTGGATCAGCATGGTGTGCTGGCCGCAGTGGCCATTTGGGGGTGAACCAACGGAAAAAGGAAGACCTTTCTCTCTGTCTCTCTCTTTCTCACTGTCCACTCTGCCTGTCAAAAAAAATAATAATAATAATAAAAAAAGAAGAAAAATCTATGGGAAAAGGCACAGGTTGGGGCATTAAATGTTCTGACTTCTAGAACTGCTTCTGCCATTAACAGCTTTATGCCCTTGAACTAATCATGTAAACTTTTGGGGGATTAACTTGAATATGTAAAATAAGAAAACTGTGTTAAATAATACTTAAAACTGCTTCCTTCTGTATTATCTGAATCTGTAAAATTAAACTGCCTTGACTAATCATTCTGTTCACAGAGATGATGTATATAAAAACATAAACTGGGTCTCAGTAAAACATACTTTCTTTCCCAAATGTGTGGTTTATAATGGAGAATACCCCATTTTAGAAGTTAGAAGATCTGGTTTTTTAGAGCTGGCCTTGGCTACCATTTAATCTTGTAAATGGTGCAAGACCATTTGCGTCTTCAGAGGCACACAAAAACATGAGTGAAGGTGCTGTAAAAATGTAAAATTTGAATGTATCATTTAGGTTGAGATGAATTTGGAAAAATTATGAATTATAAAACATGGCTGTTCTCACAAAGTATTAATCCAAGTTTATACACACACACACACACACACATATATATGGATTTATTTATTTGACAGGCAGGTTAAGAGAGAGATTGAGGTCGTCCATCCACTGGTTCACTTCCCAAATGGCTACAATGGTTGGGGCTGACATGTCGGAAGGCAGTAGCCCAGAGCTCCATCCAGATCTTCCATGTGGGTGGCAGGGACTCAAGTATCTGGCCTATCTTCTGCTTTCCCAGGCCTATTGGAAGGGAGCTGGATCAGAAATGGAGTAGCCAGGTTTTAAATTGGTAGTCCATTGTGGGGATGTCAGTATGGCAAGCAGCAGCTTAACCTGTTTTTTGTGGGACAGTATGTTTGGAAGCTTGGAGGAGATTTTTTTTTAAAGATTTATTTATTTTACTTGAAAGTCAGAGTTATACAGAGAGAGGAGAGGCGGGGGGGGTGGGTCTTCCATCTGCTGGTTCACTCTGCGCTGATCTGAAGCTAGGAGCTTCTTCCAGGTCTCCCACGCAGGTGCAGGGGCCCAAAGACTTTGGCCATCTGCTTTCCCAGGCCATAGCAGAGCTGGATCGGAAGTGGAGCAGCCAGGTCTAGAACTGGCACCCATATGGGATGCCGGCGCTGCTTGCTCTGCTGCTGTTGCCTTTCTCACCATTAGGGATGTTGTAGCATTGAAGAAAAAAACTGTCCCTTTTTATATTCAAACACCAGTGATCTAGAGCTAAATGCTGTGGTGCCAGAATGTGGCCCCAAAGTTTATATTTTTTAAAACTATTAAATTATTACATTTTATATGTAAATATCTTAAGAGTGGAAAGAACTATACTCAATATTAGGGCACAGAAAAGTAATTTTTTTTTATTTTCAAGATTAGGTGCACACTTTTTTCAGAATTGTATTATAAACATGTTCAAACACTACAGAAAAGTTTGAAAAATTCTGCAATGAACACTCATGTACCCATCCTCTGGATTCTACATATCCATCTATCCATCTCTTGATCCATGCACCCACTTTTCCCTTTTTTTGATGCATTTCAGAGGAAGTTGTAAATGTTTGTATACTTTACGCTTAACATGTCAGCAAGCATCATTAACTAGAGTTCAATATTTGCTTACTATTTGTGGGGAATAATGTTTACGTACAGTGAAGCGTACAAATCTTTAAGTATATCATTCCATGAGTTTACATTTACATACACCTGTAAGCAAACCTTTGTCAACATACAGAATAACGCCTTCACCTCCAAAAGATTCCTCATATCCCTTCCTACTGAATCTCTGCCCCATTCTCCCTCCCCCCACTGCAACTCTGTTCTATTTTTTTAAAATTCCATATAGCTGTATATTTTTAAAGTGTTTTAAATTTTTTTGCAGTTCTTATTTATCCATTATTAAAATTAGCACTCCACAAAAACATCTTATTTCCAAAATGAAATAAAATCCAGAAAACAATAGTTATAATGAAATTCCTAGAATTTCATTCAACAAGAGTGTATTGGGTACTCTGTCAGTCTGCTAAGACTGACTTAACAAAATACCACATACGTGGCTTAAATAATAGACATTTGTTGTTTCACAGTTCTCGAGGCTAGAAGTCTGACATCAGGTTGCTGTCAGGGTTGGTTTCTGGTGAGATTGCCACATTCTCATGTGTCCTCACATGATGTCATTTCTGTGTGAGGAGGGAAAGGGATCCTGATGTCTCTTCCTCTCATAAGGAAACCAATTCTGCCAGATTAGGTACCTACCCTTATGACCTCTGGTTAGCTTTCATAACTTTATGAAGTCCTTATCTCCAGATACAGTCATGTTGGGGTTAGGGCTTCAACCTGAATTTTGGGGGGGGGGGGGACACAGTTCAGTCCATGACAGATATCTACTAGCCATCAAGTACTTGGAAACCCAGTCGACAGCAAATAAAGTAAGAAACTTAATCCAAATTAGGGGTATAAAACATATAGCAGTAAGAATTCAAAGAGAAATACATCAAGAGATGGTAATTGAATTAGGCCTTATGTGGGCAGGACCAGGGGAATTCTATGCAGAGGCCATAGTATGTAAGAAAAAAAGTATTTGAGGGAAATAGCAAATCAATATTGTTGAAATACTAGGATTTGCACAGTGGCACGTTGCAGTTACTAAAACCGGAATTTGGAAGACGTTGAATGCTAAGTGTGAGGTTAGTCATTCCTGAGTAAAGGGGCTGAGGTGATAAAAGAGGCGCTTTAGGAGGATTCAGCGCTGCAGCCACTGGCCTTGCTCAGGCCCTGCCGTTTTTGTAATTAGCTTTGCAGC